ACTAAAAGTCAGTACAAATCCTCTGGGGACAAACATCGTGAGAGGGAGATGGTAGATGAAGAAGGAGAAGCTCACACTGCCCTGAGCCACTGTTGCTGACAGAGGCCTCTGCCTCCACGTTGTTTCACGTGGGGACATGTGTGAATGCATCTGGGATGTGGGTGATAAAGCAAGGCCGGTTGTCCCAGGAAACAAAACCCCTGACTGGTTGCGGTGGCTCATGCCTGTAATCTCAGCACTTTGGGAGACTGAGGCAGGTGGATCAGGAGGTTGAGATCGAGACTATCCTGGCCAACATGATGAAGCCCCATCTCTACTAAAAATACAAAAACTGGCCGGGTGTGGTGGTGCGCGCTTTTAGTCCCAGCCACTCGGGAGGCCCAAGCAGGAGAATCGCTTGAAGCTGGGAGGCAGAGGTTGCAGTGAGCTGAGATCACACCACTGCACTTCAGCCTGGTGACAGAGCGAGATTCCGTCTCAAAAAAAAAAAAAAAAAAAAACCCTGCGGCGTCTTACAGGCAGCCCTCCCTTGTGGCCAGCTGTGGGCTCTGGCTCTGTGGCTAAACTTGCCAGCCTTTCTGAGATTTTACCAGTTAACTTTTCTGCTTAACGATACAGTTCCCCTCCGAAGGAAACGTGTGGCCCAGATTTTGACGCCAGCATGAATCAGCCTCCTCTTCTCCTTCTCCTCCTCCTCCTCTTCTTTTTTCTGGGGTCTGTTGAGTCACTTTCAAATATTTGTTTCTAGGTTTTCTTATATTTCCTTCTCTTCCCCATTTTTTTTTAAATGCTACATTTTAAAGCAATGTGTTGTTTAAAGAGAATGATAAAAACAAAGGAAACAAAGTTTCTTTTTCCCATCCCATGAGAGCTTGACTTGAATTCGTCTTTGGTGACAGTTTCCGCCCCAGGGGCCTCCCTTCCTCTCCATACACTGCCTTCAGGCCTCCCCTGACCCCACAGGCAGGGACCAACAGGTAGCACTTCTAAGAGCTTGAGGATCAGGTATGCAGAACGCACTGGATAAGGAGCCAGAGACTTGACCCAGCTTTGCCTGTCATGGCCTGTTTGACCTTGATGATTCACTTATTTCCTGGACTCCCCAGGCCCCTCAGCTAGAAAACGGAGGGCCTAGCTGAAATGGTCCTCAGAGTTCTTCTGCCAGCACTAAAATTCTCTGCTCCTGGGGCCTCTGGTTCAAGCCTGGTGAGTAAAGGCAAATCCAGCATGTTCTAGAGGAGGCTGAGAGGTTTCATTCTTTCTGACTGTTCTGTTCAACTACTCTCTTCCCTTCCTGCTGTTGCAACACATGGCGCTCTTATTCATTTAATAATTTAAAAAATGCCCATTTCAATTTAAAACCTCAGTGTCTTATCCTCTTGCCTCCCCATCTTTGAATCTTACAACCTGCTTCTTATTGGCCAAATGGCTCACGCCTATAATCCCAGCATTTAGGGAGGCTGAGGTGGGTGGATCACGAGGTCAGGAGCTCAAGACCAGCCTGGCCAAGATGGTGAAACCTTGTCTCTACTAAAAATATAAAAATAAGCCAGGTGTGGTGGCGGGTGCCTGTAATCCCAGCTACTCGGGAGGCTGAGGCAGAGAATTGCTTGAACTAGGGAGGCAAAGGTTGCAGTGAGCTGAGATTGTGCCACTGCATTCCAGCCTGGGCGATAGAGTAAGACTCCCTCAAAAAACAAAACAACACAAACAAACAAACAAAAAAACCCAACCTGCTTCTTATTGACAGAATAATTTCAACTTATCAACTTATTTAATTGTTCGTTTTTATCATTTTTGTTTCACATTTCACTGTTTCAAAAAGATTTTTAAAAATTAATATTTTTATTTGAAATAATTTTAGACTTTGAGAAAAGTTGCAAAATAATAGAGTTCCATATATCCTTAACTTAGAATTTCCAAATGGTAACATTTTCCCTCATTCCTCATTTGCTTTACTATTCTATTATACATATGATATGTAACAAGTGTGTGGCTGGGCACAGTGGCTTACGCCTGTTATACCAGCACTTTGGGAGGCTGAGGCGGGCAGATCATCTGAGGTCAGGAGTTTGAAACTAGTTTGACCAATATGGTGAAACCACATCTCTACTAAAAATACAAAAATTAGCCAGGTGTGGTGGCACACACCTGTAGTCCCAGCTGCTTGGGAATCTGAGGCAGGAGAATCACTTGACCCGGGGAAGCCGAGATTGCAGTGAGCTGAGATCACGCCACTGCATTCCAGCCTGGTGACAGAGTGAGACTCTGTC